CTTTTGTTTTCTCGTCTTTTATTCACTTGGCATTTTTAAGCGATGTTAAAGTGTTAAGCTTCCATTGCCAGTACCCACGGCACGTGCTTTTATCATCGGTTTTTCTGGTTCGAATTTAGAATTCATAATCATGGCATCTCTCTTCTGTTTTGTTTACAAATATCAGTGCGCGGTGTACACACTCGGGGGCTCTTAAACGGAAGACGGTCGCTTTCATCCTGTTATTTGGAGTTAGTCATCCGCGGTTCTGTGGTTTGTTGTTAGTTTTATGGGCTTATAGTTATTTATGCAGGTTCATCTCGACTACATGTATACCTCGTGTCACGCAAATCGGCCCATCGCTTTGTTTTGGTTGGTTTTTTCTTGTGTGTTGTTTTACTCGGTTCCAGAAATGTGTCGTTATTTCATGACTTTCGGTCTTGTGCTCCTGCTATCAGTCCGGTCGATCTGGGGCGGGTAGTTCTAAATCATGCCCGATACTCTGTCTGTGACGGGGTTCCTGGATCGGCCTGGTTGGTGGCTACCCTATTTCTCCTTTATTTCTTTCTCCAGTTTCGGTTTAACGCTATTACGTGGGGTATATGTGCGTTGCCTTCATGGTAATCTATTTCCAATTATTTCGCTTTTAGGCACTGTTTAACTTTGGTTAAAACGCACGAGATTCCGTTAGATCTTACCATTCCTAGTGTAACTGGAAGGGAAGCCCGCCAGTTGGGCCGGTCCGCTCCCGTCTCCCTCATCGGTCTCGGCTATTTCTTTGGCTTTGGGGAGTCGACCCTTGTTCCCAGGCAAACGTCTGTTTTCTGTGGTATATCATAGATTTTCCTTACACTACGTTTTTAATACCCCTAGATAAGAAGGTTAAACCTGCTTCTTTTCAAGAACATATGCTTAGCCGCAAGACGGTATTTTTAAGTCTCTGCAGAAGTCTGTGGGAGGATAAACTTCTTTACACTCTTGTATCTGCCGCCAGGTTGTTTTCTCGTGCGGCGTGTTTGGCTATATCACAAGGCACTGGCGTCTCCAACAGCTGATCCCGTAGAATGAGCTTCTGAGATTGGGGGGAATATGACGATTTTTCTAAGGTTGTTGGCTTAGTGGCAGCATTCGGCGCTCGGGTAGAAATTATTTTCGCCCATATCTTAGTATTCCCCGCGTGTGCCATAGAGGTGCAGCATATCAATGAAAATTCTCCTACTATTTTCATTGATATGTTTGCTCCGAAATGGGCAAGCGGGCCCCATAAATTGACACTTTTTCACTCCTGGGACCCTTGCATTACCCCTGGGTATTGAGCGTGGTATTTAAATGTTTTGCCAACATCAGGATCACTTATCAGATCGCTTTCCTATGTGTTCATGCCCCGAGAGGGCATATATACTTGCGTTTTTTGCCCACCCTCCTCCCCTCAGCGACGAAAACCCGGTTATGCTGCACTTCTTCGCATACGCGGAAATTATTTTCGCCCATATCTTAGTATTCCCCGCGTGTGCCATAGAGGTGCAGCATATCAATGAAAATTCTCCTACAATTTCACCTGCGTTTTGTCCAACTATTTGACAATTTCTCGTGCCTTTATAATTTCCCAAAACTAATTAGACTCGCGAAGTCATTAGAATTTGGAAATAACGGGCGTGAAATTATTCCCCAATTTCACTCGTCATAGGACCATTTGATTACATGTACACATACTAATGATAAGATCCAGAGGTAGGACTTTCAGTTTTTTAGAGATTCTTTATTTACCATTTCCGATAGAATAGGGACATGGAATTAAATTTTCATTAATTTCTGCACATTTTAAGGAAAATATCTATTGCAAATAAACCTTTTTGGTAAGTCAAATAACTATAACTGCATTACTAATGCTATGGGAGGGAACACATTAACCTTTTTGGGGGGGGAATATATATATATCTTTACCTGTTCACGCCAATGACGTCATAGCCTTTTGTCTTTATCTTGTTCATAAAATGCGAAGGAAGGTCATATGTGCTATTTTTCAGTGATTTAACCAGTCTGACAGGTTTTCTTGCTCCTGTTAGGTCGATAAATTTTGTCGATTGGTTGATTAAAAAAAAAGAACCGTTCTCATTGGTCAATTAGGAATAAACTCAAACTTGCCCGTGACTTGAAATCACTGAGTCGTAACGTAATCATGCATTAAGTTCTATTTCTTACCGCAGTCATTGCCCTAGTTACGGTTCAATGATTCCCTCACGCAAATCGTCATATTGAAGAGGGTGAAGGCAAATTGGCTCTTTTTAGGGCGAAAGACAATGTTTTACTTACCCACATCCTAATGCTCCTCTAAAATTATTTTATCTCTCCTTTTTTATTTTATTTGTCATTTTTATTTTCGAACCCTCACCACATCGACCCCTCATCTACCCTACATCGAGCCTACATCTACCCGACATCGACCCCACATCGACCCTACAGCGATCCCGCTAATCGTAATGAAATTCCTCCGCATTTTATTCCTGAGATAGCGACAAAAGGCTATGGTGTCATTTGCGTTAACATATTCCTCCGCAAGAAAATGAGATTTTCCCGCAAAAAAAGTTTAATTCGGTCCCTACCATACTACTATCATTGCATGAATACTCTCACACTGAGAAAACAAAATACAGTGTTCGCAGCAGACATACAGATACCTGAAGATTAAACGTTGAATATCGCAAACTGTATATTAAGTACTTTTTTGGCCTCAGCGAGGATAATTTAAGAATACTTAGTGCATGCGTTGAGTGAAAAGGGATCATGCTACGGAAACTTAACAGAGAATGAGCTCCCGGCTGAAATAATACGTAATAGATATCAATATCGGCGCTTATTTGTTGTTTTTAAGTATACCGAAAGAACAATATTTTTTTATATATTGAACTCAACGGATCGCTGCATGACTTTCCACGCGTTTTACTATCAAACTTGTTAATGTCTTTACTTGATTATCTAAATTACTGGTTTTAAGTATACTGCACAGTCCTTTTTTAAAGTGTTTTTATTCGATAGCTATCGTGGGTTATCGTTTGATTAGACTTTATTTGTGATTACATTCTGTTCGAATACTAGGAATGAAGGAAGGGAGAGAGCTTCATCATTAAAAGTTCATTTTATATTTTACTGTATTTGAATGGTAATCAACTAGTAATAACCAAAGGTTGCAAAGTGCGGCTGACTACGATTGAAGGTCAAAACCCTTTTGCTCCGACGCTGTACTTTGCGCAAGTTTCACGTAATAGTCGGTCAAAACACGCGTGATCAGATCCCGAGTGATAGAAGGTCCAATCGCGAGTGATCAAATTGCGTTCTGTGCATTCCATTCATTCTTAGTGCAAGTCCAAACGAATGCTGGCTACAGACATGCGACGCATGCTTAATTAGAGCCTGGAGATTAAGATTGCGGGCTCCTCTTGTCACCCGCAATTAACGTGTGGGACCGGGAAAGTTACATAGTAAAATTCTATTAAATGCATTTAATTGATCAGGCGTTTCCCACTGAGTATGCATATTTCGTTTTTTCCATATTTGAACTCTCTAGTACTCTGATGCCCGTTTTGGATTAAGAGTTGTATATAAACTTCTTTTAAACTTCAGAAATTAGGAAATTTCTGATGCAGGAGTGTTAATGCAATCGTTCTTTGCCTTCTGCTTCAGAAATAAGTGGCATCGAACGCACTTTACTAAATGTTTGCATATCATTAGTCTATTCCGAATTTGCAAAAGAAGAACCAAAGCACAGCCGTTTTAAAGATTTTGAGACTAGAGGGAGGAAGTTTTCAAATTTCAATGCCTTTAAATCTACTTGCGGTGGACTGAGCGTTTAAGAAATTCTTTAAGACTGAACGGGCCATCTTGCTCGATTACCACATTTGGTTAAAAGACAAGCGACGGTCAAGCGTTTTGTTTTCAGCGCGCCTTGCTAGTGGTATTAAGAGGGTCTGGATGGGGTTAAGTGACAACTGACAAATGGCCAAAATTTTAACTGACAAATAACCTAAAATTTGGCTGACAACTGACATTTCCCTTGGGTTTTACCGACAACTGACGAAGGACTGATTGTCCCTTATTTTCTAAACAACCCGTTTTAAGGCCTTAAATAGCATTGTTCCACTCTTTTCGTCAGACAATGTGATCAAATGTGCGTTTTGGGGGGCAATCTTAGCAGCAAGACACATAAGAGGCAGTCCCGCTAACAGCGGTCCGGTCGATTTTGCGTCAGAAAAAAGTTTCCCTTTAAACTTTGTACACTAAAAGGGTTTGATATATATGTAATAAAAATGATTTTCTTTTTTGCAAATAATATATTTCCGCTTTCCTACAGGCGCGATCACGTCCGGGCCAATTCGTCTCCTCCAGAGCCCGGTTTGAGGACCGAAATTTGTCGTTTTTGAGGGCCGCGCCATAACAAAACTAAAACGAATTATAAAATATCTTTCACACCAGCTGTTTCCACTGCCTTTTATTGACAAATGAGCAAAATATCGAATTTTTTAATAATTTTGCAGACAATCTGTGAGTCCCGAAAGACACCACTTTTAGCAGGTCACCCGACTGCCAAAAAACATGCTCAGATTCGAGAGCTAAAATCTCAATTGTGGGACAAAAATCTGATATAAAATTTATATCAAGGTCAAGGCCTTACTTCATTTTAAGAGGTTCTAAGGTCAAATCTGCGGGTATCCGCCTGCACACTTAGCGGTGAGAAAGTAATTTTGGCCATCATGGCACTCTGACTCTATAATTAGTATCATATATTTATCTACTTGATCGATCACTCGCTTGACCGAAAAAATATTCACAGCTCTAAAATTTGCTTAAATGTTTCCTCAAAGCCTTCAAACAAACGCTTTTTGTAATTTTATTTGAAAATCATAAAGGAAAAATATTTTAGGTTCATAGAGCTAAGGTCAAGGAAACCACTATTCCTTATATGCAAATTAGCTGGTTGTCACGCAATACCTAACCAAAGTGGATGAGAAAGCAGAGTTTGTATCATGGCGACTTGTTTTCTGAAAACACGAGAGTTTGGAGACTGTGGAGAATTTCGAGGTATAGCTGAGCTTGTAAGCTTAGATCAATGTAGGAACGATTTAAGTCAACATTTATCCCAATGTCATTTGAGTCGAAAACGGATTATGGAGGGAGAATTGATTTTGGTGCGTTCAGGTTTGTTTTATACGACCGAAACGCAGAGACAAAAAATGCTTGTTTGTCCGAAGCACCGTGCGTATCTCGGGCAGTACTGGGGAAATCAGACAAAGTTAAGCTCATGCAAGTACCCTGGCCACAAGGGAGAGCACAGAGCGGTCAGAACAGATCGCGCATTTACTTTGAAGGTATCAAGGGAAGTAATGGAAGTGTTTGGTGTTCTTGTTCCTGTCGGAGCACGTGAGTATTTGCCTATTTTCTGGATTACCTCTTATTTGAAATAATTGAGACTCATAAACAACTTGCGCAAATAGCAGATATTATGAATAATCTCGTGTATGATTTTTTTAAGCGATCTGTAGTAGCTGTAGAAAGGCGCACAGCAAAAGGGTCCAGAGTAATTGGCCGTGGCTACAAGGAGGAAGCGCGAATGCGGGACCACGCGATGAAGATGATGCAGTACTGCTGACTAGGTATCTTTAATATAAATATTCTTGTTTTTGACATTAAAATGCGCAAAAACAGTTATCCTCAGTTCTTGTCATAGCTCAAACACAATTCTGTTGGCGCAAGATAAGATCGTGAGAACGCTCGTTCGGGATTGGCTAGCTTAGCCCTGTTTGCGTTGTAATAAAAAGCCGACATGCTTTGTTCCATCCACCCTCTCGGTACTCTGAAAATACCCCAAGAACGGGACCATTAGAGAAACGTAATTGTTGGTAACAACATAAAGGAGCATTTGTATCCAGGAAAAAATACCCTAAAAGTTTAAAAAACGAGCCTAAGGGACGGACCATTAAAGAAACTAAATTGTTGGTTACAGTATAAAGGAGTGTTTGTATATATAAAAAAAAAATACCCTAAAAGTTCAAAAACGTGAAAAAAGTGTTGTCGATCACCTTTTCAATCACTTTATATTGTTTGTCCCAAACAGCATTGCGTTCAGACCTGCAAACCAAAATGTGGTAGCTTTTTTTTTTTTTATTTGTTTGTTTAAATGGCACAATCGCTTTATTATCGATATGAAATGCCCTCTAATAACAATTTCTGGGTGTAGGCGTGGCCTTCGGGGTGATTTCAGGCATTAGAAGAGATATGCCTCTTATATGCTGCTAAATTCCATAACTTGAAGTTTTCGGAGGGAAATCACCCTAGCTTCCCTTTAGCAGTAGGTCTCTTGCCAGTCGCTTTTCCATCATTGTCATGTGGTAATGCCTTCTTGTGTCTCATATAGGAAGAGCAAAGACAAGGCCTTGGCGGAGATGCGAGAGATCCAACCAGACACCCCAACTGTTTCCACACCACTTGGTGACTTCCCTTGGACACCTCGACAGTGGCTCAAACTAGAGTCAGTGGACGATGACAGCACAGGCGAGGACATGCAGACTTTTCCAGACCAGACATTCGAGGTGTATAATACCGCAATGGCTCAAATCGCTGGACTGTCCGATATCAAGATTTTAGAGCCGTTGACCTTTAGGCTGAAAGTGGACTGGGGCACTGCGACAGAGAAAGAAAAGCAGATGTGCGAAGAGACGGTTGACGACGCCTGTCGGGCAGTGTGTAAAGTGATCGCACCAAGCTCTAGCGAGGAGTTGCTGAAATCGTACGTGAAGCGTGCTTCCAGGTCAGATAAAGAGGTCGAGGCACTGACGTCAGCCTACAGGCAAGCACCAACCAAGAATCTGAAAACACAGATCCTAAGTATATATGCCTTGCGCTATACGTCAAAGGAACTGAAGGCAATGCACGCGCCCTTTGAGAAGTTCAGTGATCGCCAAATAAAGAAAGCAAGAACACATGCAAAAACTGTAGGAGTTGGGCTCGAAGTTGAAAAAGTTCCTCATTACAGGGTACGCATTGATAGGTCGAAACTAGAACACTTTTTGGATATTGTTGACCAGCCTTATTTTTATCAAGATGTTTCTTTTGGAACGAGAACAGTTAAGCTGGACTCAGGTCAGCAGATGGTTATGCCTAACGTAGTCAGAACTGTAGGGCGTTCAACAATGATTGAGCAATATCATCAGTGGTGCAGAGAAGAAGACTATCAGCCTTTAGGCAGGTCCACCTTATACAGGATATTGAAAGTGCGAGAGGCATCACAGCGCAAGTCCCTCCAGGGCTTAGATAACACGGCATCAAGTGGGGCAGAAGGCTTTGACACCCTCAATAAAATAGTGGATGACTTGGAGCAGTAGGGTGCACGCCATAAATGGTGCGAGGGATCTCGGGATAATCTAAAGGGAGCAAAGCGCTACTTAAAAACGAGCTACCGTGCGCACTGTCGTGAAGACAGCGACAATCTGTGTGCTGAGCACTGCAGAGAACACGCACTTAGCGATACGCAGTGCTTAGAGTTCAAGACATCCTGTACTCATGATCATATGGAGCTGTGTGAAAGCTGCGACAGTCTCAGGAACACACTGGGCTCTGTTTTGTCTGAGATTAAAGGTTCACAAGATGTCCAGTTCTACAGCAGAGACCAGCAAGAAGACATGTTGTAAGATGCTGCTCAAGCACAGGACATGGTTCTCCAGTAAAAGGCCCACATCCTAAGGGCAGAGAATCAAGATCGCGCGAAAACTGATGCCGTTAATTGCCTTCAGAGTGATACTATTCTCATAGTGATGGATTGGGCCATGAAGTTTATACAGATGAAATACCGCGAGAAACAATCAGAATGGTATGGAAAGCGTGGGATGAACTGGCATATAAGCTCTGTCCTATCAAAACCAGCAGACAGAGAACAGCTTGAGGTTACTTCTTATGTGCATCTCTTTGACAATTGTGCCCAAGACTCTTACACAGTTTACGCGATAATTAAGCATCTCTTGAAGACTCTGAAAATCGCCAACCCGCACATCAGCAAAGCCTTGCTGCGTTCAGGTGGAGCTGGATGTTATCACAACAACAACCTGATTGCTGCTTTGAATGAGGTTCACATTCATACTGGCATAAGTGTGTTAAGGTAATTGCTTTATTGTTTATATCTCTTATTGTACATCGTAAACATTTTACTACTCCGAGATATCAGCTCAAGGAACAAACATGCTACATTCATATATTTCATAACCTCTGTGTGCTAAGTAGCCACGTGCGTATTTATTATTCTCCATTGCGTTTCACTGCAGAGATCATAAACTCGTCACTCTGGATACCGAAATATGCATGCGCCGGATGTGATTTGTATAAAAGAAAACGGGAAAGTAAAATTCAATTCTTATCAAGGGGATGTTTGTTTCGATACTTAAAGGATTAATGAGATAACAACAACTTCCAGTAAGCGCTTTCACCGTTGATTTCTAGGTATGACTTTTCGGAGCCGCAGTTCGGGAAGGATGTGTGCGACCGCATCATCAGCCCCCTGAAGGGCGTGGTCAGACGCTTCTGTAACGAGGGTAATGATATCCTGTCGGCGGCAGACATGCGTGAAGCGCTCAAGGTCCGACCAGTGAAGGGATGCACAGCTGCTGTTTGCGAGATAGAGCGCACTGATCAAGAAATCAAGGTAAACCGCATCCCAAACTTTAGCACCTTTCACAACTTTTCATATGAGGGAACTGGGCTGCAAATGTGGAAAGCCTATGATATTGGAGCTGGAAAACTCGTGCTGTGGTCAGACCTAGACGTCCAAGTTCCCGGTGCAATAACCTTGAAACCTGCCACCAACCAACTACAGTTCTGGGATGTTCAACCTAGGTGTGTAAAACTACAAGGAAAGACGAACCAAAGTGTAAAGCTTGACACAGAAACTGCGCTATTCGAATGCAACGAAGCCGGCTGCTCACATTCATTCGATAACTATGATGCCTTACAGGACCACATCAACTTTGGCAATCATGATCCCATCAGCACAAATCAAGAAAGTGTTTACGACAAGTTGCGTCGCGAGTGGGTTCGGAAATTCTCGGCATTGTCAGTAAGTGAGCAGAAACCGAAGCAGCCTACATCAGAAAAAAGCACTATGACAGCAACTCATGCGGACTCTTCTGAAGCCGGATGGGCCTTGCAGAAACCGAGGGGTAGTGGGACAAGGTTCTCAGAGAACGTAAAGTCATATCTCCAAGCCCGATTTGACGTCGGAGTACAAACTGGAAGAAAGTCTGATCCAGTTCAAGTGTCAGCGGATATGAGAAGCGCCAAAAACCAAGACGGCACTAGAAAATTCTCGAGAGACGAGTGGCTGACGAAGATACAAGTTCAAGCCTTCTTTTCCCGACTTGCTGCAGCGCAGAAGAAACAGGTGACTCAGAGACACGTGGAAAAAGACGACGAAAATACTCTGCTGGATGAAGATCTTGCACACCTGGACCAACAAAACAAAGATGAGGATGTTCAAGAGGTGCTGTCGCAAATAGGACTGGAACATCCGATCACATATGATGGCTACGACATCTGCGATCTGGTCAAGACTGAGGCATTGTCGCGCTTTACTGTGAAGGAACTGAGGGTCATGTGTGACCACTTTGAGCTGCCACGTAAATCAACGGACAAGAAAGCCGCTCTGATTAAACGCGTTACCCACATGGTGGAAGAGTGTAGCTGCTCATAAACACGGCTGGAAAAGAACACATTGATTTTTATTCGGCGAATCAACTGGGCCGTGAACTCAGTTAGCATGTTCCACTTCGAGAGGGTGTTGTGAACAAGAGCTCTATGTACGAACCTTTTTAGAATGATGAGAAAGCCGTACCCCAGCACCACACCCATGTTCCGCCCCTTATAGTGAAAATCCTAAAATAAGTGAACTGTATATGAAACCCTGGATCCGTAAATAATTATAGTATATGAGCGGGAGTACAGGGCTCGGGGGAGGCTTTACTTGTTTGCGAAACTTTGTTCTGATTTGAGACTTTTATTAGATAACAAAATACACAAAGTGCATTTTACCCCTGGATTTCTGTACTACACTAAGATGAATTGACAACACCTTACAAAACAGTCTCGTGGGCATAAAATTAGCCTAGCCTGGATTCTTTTACAGACATATTTTTGTTAGCCTAGTATTTTTTGTATTTCGCTACTCATGTTTCATGGGAGATTCTGAACCAAAAACATCCGGGTTTTTTTTAGCTGGGATGAAATATTTAAGTTAATCTTGACTGAAGAGGCGAATATAGGGCACATAGTAAGCGTATAGATTTTCTATCAGTGCGCGACTCGAGCGTTACATTCACACTGTGCTATATAATACATGGCTGGATCTCAGTCACAGTGCCAGTAATTCGTATTCTGCGTAAATTGGCTGACTTCAAAACCGACTGTAGAATTCACCAAAGAGGGCATTTCATATTGATAGTAAGGCAGATTGTGCCATTTAAACACAGAAACGAAAAATAAAAGCTTCCACGTTTTGGTTTGCAAGTCTGAACGCAATGCTGTTTGGGACACACAAATATATAAAAAAAGTGACTGGGGAGGTGATCGACAACATTTTTTTTCACGTTTTTGAACTTTTTGGGTATTTTTTTTTTTCCTGTATACAAATGCTCCTTTATATTGTTACCAACAATTTAGTTTCTCTAATGGTCCGTCCCTTGGGGTGTTTTTAGAGTACTCAGAGGATGGGCGGAACAAGGCGTGTCGCCTTTTTATTACAACGCAAATACGGCTAAGCTAGCCAATCTCGAACGAGCGTTCCCACGATTTTATCTTCTGCAGACAGAATTGTGTTCTCTCTCCATAATCCGCCCTCGACTCAAATGACATCGGGAAAAATTGTTGACTTAAATCGTTCCTACATTGATCTAAGCACACACGCTCAGCTATACCTCGAAATTCCCCACAGTCTCCAAATTCTCGTGTTTTTAGAAAACGAGTCGCCATGATACAAACTCTGCTTTCTCATCCACTTTGGTTAGGTATTGCGTGACAACCAGCTAATTTGCATATAAGCAATAGTGGTTTCTTTGACCTTAGCTCTATAAACCTAAAATATTTCGCCTTTTTTGATTTTCAAATAAAATTACAAAAAAAGCGCTTATTTGCAGGTTTTGAGGAAACATTTAAGCAAATTTTAGAGCTGTGAATATTTTTTCGGTCAAGCGAGTGATCGATCGAGTAGATAAATATATTATACTAATTATAGAGTCAGAGTTATTGTTGTAAACAAAGTGCCATGATGGCCAAATTTACCTTCTCGCTGCTCCGTGTGCAGGCGGATACCCGCAGATTTGACTTTAGAACCTCTTAAAATGAAGTAATACCTTGATCTTGATATAAATTTCATATCAGATTTTTGTCCCACAATTGAGATTTTAGCTCTCGAATCTGTGCATGTTTTTTGGCAGTCGGGCGACCTGTTCAGAGTGGTGTCTTTCGGGACTTACAGATTTTCTGCAAAATTATCAAAAAGTTCGATATTTTGCACATTTGTCAATAAAAGGCAGTGGAAACAGCTGGTGTAAAAGATACTTTATAATTATCTGTAGTTTCGATATGACGCGACCCTCAAAAACGACAATTTTCGGTCTTTAAATCGGCCTCTGGAGGAGACGAATTGGCCCGGACGTGATCACGCCTGTGGGAAAGCGGAAATATATTATTTGCAAAAAAGAAAATCATTTTTATTACTTATATACCAAACCTTTTTAGTGTACAAAGTTTAAAGGGAAACTTTTTTCTGACGCGAAATCGATCGGACCGCTGTTAGCGGGACTGCCTCTTAAGTGTCATATTTCGTTAATGATTTACTGTAAAGCCCATGTTATGTACCACCTGTGGTAAAAATTACCTATGATCTCAAATTTACGCTCCTCTGAGAACGCGCCAGCATGCGATGGCTGCTAATGACGGCGTTACAAAAGCAATTGCAAGTTTTTTCCGAGATGGTTCAGATACGGTCTTTCTTTCGATCTACGTCGCAATAATAATATTCTGAAGGCATAAATTTTGATTGGCATAATGGTTGGAAATGTTGGACTCTGGGCCAGCAAAAACGTTCGAGTGGAGGAGAGTAACACAAGACTTGAGAAAAGGAGGGCCACTTGAAATGCTTACAATAGCAAAACTGATAAAAATTAAAGTACTAATGCATCAGTTTTGTAATTTAATCATTAATTGACATTATATGTGTCTTTAAAGCTAAATTTTGCATCAAAAATATACAAATAAGTTTCATAGTTAATCATTAATAATCATTTAACTGACAACTCACAAAAAGCCTTAAATTTAACTGACAACTGACAAATGGCCAAAATTTTAACTGACAACTGACATTTGTATCCCCTCATCGAGACCCTCTATTAACGAGGGTGTGTGCTTCTTGGCGAAGAGCCACTGCCCGTATGGCTATGAAAATCTCTCTTAAATTGACTCATCTCCATTCTCCTCACTTATCTAAATGAAGCAGTCTCGCAGGATAAATAAGATGAGCATGTGCGAGCGCTGTTGTCAGCGGAGAGAGCTTTTAGTTGACCTGACTAATTAGATCCGATTTTTTTCTTTTTGACATTCTTAGTCATGTTTTGCTTTGTAAAATCGATCCAATTTGTTATTCTTATCGTTTCTTCATTATTTGTAATACGCATATGAATATATTTGTATGGTACATGCGTAATATGTTACCGGTAGGTAGAAAGTTATTTTCATGCTGAATTTGCAACAAAATCGCAAAATGCACTTGACAAAATCCCTGAAGTGTTCGTAAATTGGAAATAAAGTTTTCACTAAGTGACGTTTTTAATTTACAAACAGGTAGTTTTTCTCATTTTTATCCGACTGATTTGGTAAATACTAAAACAACTTCCACTTCGGGAGATAGTTGTATAATTAACAATTATTCCAGGAGGGCGCGTTGGATATGAGATGGTAGATAGCCAACGAGGCGCGTAGCGCCGAGTTGGCTATAATCATCTCATATCCAACAAGCGCGATTGGAATAATTGTTTTATTAAAAACGCCAACAAAATCTCGTTGAATCTCCCCGACTAGAACAAACCGGAAAAGACAAGGGACTTCCGCTATTCACATGTCACACGTCTATCAAAACTGTCAACGCGCGAACGGACTCGCCTGGACTGCATGAATGAAAAATCAAAACATTGTAGCGATGAACATTGGTTTTTTTAAAAACTAATCGGGATTCTAGGATTTAACACAGCAGAACAGCTAAAAAAACCTGGCAGATAATGTGAAGGAAAAGAATTTCTGAGTGACAGCCGTCGAAATTACTGTGAATTTGGATTTTCGGTGCAGTTATGAAGTAAGAACAACGGAGAAAAACTATTACCTCGGTCGCTTGTTATGAAGTTGTTTGAGGCCACAAGCTGGTTTTGCTGAACGAGAAAAGAAGCTATACCGCCCCCTCGATTTCTCTAGTGAATGGCTGCATAGCCTGTATTTGTAGCTGGTTACTTGTGGTTTATATTCTTGATGTCGGATAAACAAGCCGCAGTTACCTATCGGCGAGTGACTCGATCAGCAAATGGCTTCCCGATCATGAAGAAACATTACTTGTCTTCTTTCGTAGCTGGTCAAGGTACTTTAGTTCCATGTGTTTTCATGTGTTTTTCGACAAACTTTCAAACAAGCTCTTGTGGCTTTTTTGTTTGTTTTTGTTGTTTTTCTTTCGATGAAATTGCATTTCTAGTATTCTAAGAAATGAATTAAAACAATTTGCTTCGGGCGCCGTTCTGTCCTTCGCGAAAAAAAAAATCAGCTAGCTTCAAATTTTAAACTGACGCATACACCGACCATATATGGAGAGCATGGTATAATAGCTCATATACCATAACGGCTAAGCTAATCAAAATGCTAGAATTGCATTATCCAGTGATTCAGTTTTTAATAATATTTAATTGATTATACTTTACACTATATTTATCCCAGATTGGGGTATCTTGTATGAGAGATCTCAAGAGTATTGTGGCTAACTTTCTCGTAGTAGGATAACTGCATTTTTCGTAATATACACGTCCTACCCAACTTGGCCGAGCCAAAATACTAAGATGAGCATCTCATTTTTAAACTGAATTTTCGCTGTACACGTTAAAAGCAATAGCAAATGAAATCTATGAGCTCTCATAAGACTGAAAGTCAACTATTTAATACCTATTCTAGCTGGGAAAGTTCACTTGATAACAACTCATCACCTGGTCCGTTCGAGAACGATTGGTTATACAGCGCATTGTTAAAGGGGCTTACTGTCACGCATCTGCTATCCTACTTTTTGAAAGCTTAAAGGCGTGTTTGCATGTACAAAAAGTTCCAGAAATAATGCTATATTTGCATTGAAACTGTTCCCTGTCGTCTATTGCTATGGATAGCAACCAGTTAAACTGGAGTGAAAGATGATAGCACTTGATCCTGTAGCCGGAAAGCGACGCAGTGGGAATTCAGTATGGTGAAGACGATTCCAAATGTACATGGGAAATCCATCTATTTCTTTCCTTGGCCTGCAATGGATTCAAGACAGCAACAACCAAGTTATTATCGGCTCCACTTCTTTGTCGAGGTTGGGTGGGCGCCTAATCCCTTAAATAAGCTCTATAGTTACCGTAAACCCTCGATTAAGCTCCCGAAGGATTTATTTATTTCAAACACATTTGAGGGAGGGAGGCCCACATGATTTAGCAAAGACGATGGTATCAGTTCTCCATAAAGAACTATAACTGCGAAGTGTAAAAGCTCAAGTACAATGGTTGTAGGTCATGCAGCCCAGGATCAAAAACAAATCTGATAGTCCAGCTGGTGAAAAAACTATCGTGGACCAGTCCACATGAAGTGTGACAGTTGTGATTGATAAATATAGTATATCATAAATTAGTAAAGAATAATAAGGGGAGGGGAGGGAAGGGGAAGAGGGGCTTAAAAGAGAAGGGGGGCTTATTAGAGGGGGAGCTTATTTGAGAGAGGAGGGGGGGGGGCTTAATAGAGGATTTACAGTATGGGTGGCCCAAGGAAAATGGATTCTTTTTACCTGAAATTGGGTATAGATTCTGGGCCCGAAATCTGGTGAGCCTAAAATTTGTGCTCCCTGGAAGAAAGGCCTGGAATTGGGTATGTTTTTATTCATTTGACTTTTAAGAGAAGCGGTATAAGTCTCAGAAGGAAAAAACAGTTTGCCAAATTTTTATACAGGAGTACCCCACAGGAGGCGGGAATTTGCCCTGCTCACAATACTCTTTCTTCCTGCAGGTGCATTAATTCTTGATACCGTGAATAATTCTTTAACTGAACATGAAAAGAAATGCTTATTAGTGGTCGAAAACAAGTGAAGACAGTAATGGTGATAGACTCTGAAAAGTTAACGGCTTAGAGATGAAATCTCGTAAGCTTGATTTACTAACTGTATTTTAAATTTTATATTCTATTGATTCTTTTTTGACCTATGAATGAAAGACTCAGGTGTGAAAATTCAAATGAAGCTACATCTTCGTTTCCTATTTTCTTGTTTAGTAAATCAGTTGTACAAAGTGTTATTCTTATTCTGCTGATCTGCAGATTAAATGACTACTTTTCTGTCGTGTTGTTTGTTTCTCAATCGCACTTTGCGGAAAGTAAAAGGCTTCCCGGTCTCCAAACAATCAGGTGCTAGAAGTCTAAGAGCGGAGCCAAAGATAAAAGCCCTTTCATTTCTCAAGTTTACGAACATGTGTTAATTTTTCTATCTTATCTTACAGAGAGGACCTCACCTTTCATTAGCCAAAATTCAATGTCACGTCATCACCAATCAGCACGAATGGAGCCCAGTGCTTCACGGCATTGAATTTTTCTGACTCCTGCATCCTTTTCATGGCCTGATGAAGCGACTTACTTGCACTTTGCCCTGCTACTAGATGATCGTAAAAGTGTCTCATAAACGCAAGAGTGGCTTCGTCGTCAATCGCCCACAGGGTCGCAATAACAGAACGCGCACCTGCTCCTAAAAAGGCACGTGCAATACCAACCACGCCTTCGACTTTGATCTTTCCTCGCCCACTGTTGCAGCAGCTTAAGACAACAAGCTTGGCGCGTACTTTTGCATCCAACACATCTGCCATCGTCAAAAGAAAGTCTTTCTCTTTGGGTTTTTCTGCACTAGCAGAGTTAGGAGACAAAATAATTTCTCCGGTTTCTGTACGACCATGAGCTGCTATGTGCACTAACGAAACTGAGTTGAGCCCGCTTAAAACCCGATCTTTTGTAGCGTTCTTTCCGGTGAGAGGCTCGATGTTTAGAATTTGTCCAATCATTTTTACCTCTTCCTCGGCACCTGGAAGCTGCGGAAACGGTTTGCAGCCTTTGAAGCGTACAGTTTTCACCCACGGGTTGCCAACAAGTAGAGCCCCCGATGTACTATAGCGGCCCTCCGGACATTCCGCCAGCAGCTTTAAGGTTGTCAGTGATGGAACCAATCTAATTCCAAGCGTTTTAGATAAATAGCTGGAGTTTTGTTGCACAAGGGCAGCATAAGGAATTAAGAACGATGAACCGTCAGGGACAATGACGAGTTCATCACCTTCTATCGAGTTTGAAAATGGAGCGATAAATATGTCGTACAAAAACTTTAACGCATCACCCTGGTCTTCAATCTCTTTCCGGGAGAGATTATTTTTCCACAGGCTTTTGTTCACACCAATCTGTTTGTATGCTTGGTAAGTCATTGATGTCAAGTCAACACTAACTCCCTGTTTTACAACGTCAATCAGCTTTCCCCCCTTTGACAGCATCCAGATATTCACTGACTGGGTATCGTTCATTAGAAATAACGTGGGTGACGAAATATGGTTTGAAATGATAAGTCCCGTCTGCAGTTTCGACAGCGAACAAATTGATTTCCTGATGCCATATTGCGATTCCAAGAGGTCCACGAGAGCTTCTGCTCGCCCCCTCTCAGCTGTTAAAAGCGCCTCGAGTGTCTTACGTTCAGTACGTTGTTGTAATTGACGTGTCACTAAACAACTAACGGGATCACGTGCATTCCGAAAGCTGATTTTCCACTCGTCGTTTCCTTCAAGGAGGACTCTCATTTCCTCTACTAGTTCAATAGAGGATTTAAAACACTCCTCGGCTTTGGAGTATTCGCCAAGAGACCAATGAACGTGAGCAAGGTTATGATATCCCTGTTGTTCTGCATCTTTGTTTCCAGTCTCTTTTGCTATACTTATGGGTAGCTGATAAAATTCCATTGCTTTTTTGGAATTACCGAGATGCTCATAGACATTGCCGAGGTTTATATATGTAGTTCCTTCTCCATTTTTGTTCCCATCATCTTTTGTGATTCTTAGACTCAGCTCATAAAGCTCGATCGCTTCTTTAAAATCACCGAGAGACTTATAGGCGAGGCCAAGGTTGTTATATATACTTGCTTGTTGATCTTTGTTTCCAGTGTCTTTTGCGATTCTTAGAGCCAGCTGATGAA